TCGTCCTCGGGGTCGCTGAGCAGCCCAAGTCCGGGCAGCGACACCCCGTCCAAGTATGCGGAGTCTGCAAGGAGGAGCACACAGGGGACGGTGTCAGAGCACTCGCTCGCGGTGGGGTGATGCTTCCCGAAGAAACCCAGCACTCCGTGCCTCAGTTTCCACCCCACACTCGTGCCCTACACGCCAATCCCCTCCTCCACTCCTCCATCCCTCCGCCATCTGGGTGCTGGTGGGTTTGACTCCTTCCAGCGCGGCGCTCCTCTCACCGCCCCGGCCCCGGAGTCGCGGCCGCCCCCGCCTCCGCCCGTGGCTCACCTTCCTCCGGCCCGAAGCCGCTGTTGCTGCTGTCCAGGGACTCGCAGTCCGAGCTCTCCAGGCTCGCGCAGCGGCCGAGCCCCTCCTCTCGGGCCGCCGACCCCCAGGCCGAGCGCGGCGGCTGATCGGGGGTGGGCGTTCGGGACAAGGACGCAGACGAAGAGGGGGAGGACGACGAGAAGCGATCCCAAAGGCTAGGCATGGTGCGGACCGACTCCTCCACGTTGGCAGATGAGCTCAGGGTACGGGAGCGCCGAAGACGCTGCAAGACAAGAGGGGCACGGACCTGGCGTCAGTGTGGGGGCTGGACCAGACGGGGAAGGCAGGGACCCGCACGGCGGAGGCCTCCCCGCGCAGGGGTCGGCACTTCGAGAAGGGACACTCACCAGCTAAGCGCGGTCAGCGAGAACTGCTGAGACGAGAGCCGCTTGAATGAGTGCGCGAACCGGTGCCAGTCCCCGAGCGCTGCCCAGACTTGTCCGCTCCAACCACTCTCACCACCCTTCGGCCAGCCGCGGTCCCCAGCACCAGCGCGGAGAGGCCTATAAGGACTGGCTCGGAGAAGCCACGCCCCGTGACAGCAGCAGCCCAATCCAGACGCGGGAGTGTGGCCGGCCTCCGCCAATGGGCGCCGGGCGCACGTTCGCAACGTTCTCTCCTGCCCGGTGACAGCGGCCTGGCCCCGCCCCTGCTGAGCCCCAGCACTTTCGGCAGCCGAACCCCGAGCGGTGGCCACGCCCCCTTTCGAGAAAGGCTCCTCGGCCGCTGCAGCTGCCAAGGTCCCCGAGGGCGCTCGCGGCAGGGGTGGATCAAGGAAAGACTTGTTTATTATGGGGTCGTGTTGCGGGGGGATGGGGGAGCCGGCCCCGCGCGGGGGGAGAGGCAGGGGAGCTGGAAGGGGCGGTGGGCCGGGAAAACGGTTGCCCGAGTCTGGGAACTTGGAGCCCAGCGTATCGCTGGGCGCACGGATGGATGCCCGCGGGACGGCAGCGCGGGGAGCTGACTTGAACGTGGCGGCCCTCCCTCACGTACCCCACGTTAACCCTGCCCTGCGAGTGATCGGATATGGGGATGGGGTCCCCAAACTGGGCAGCTCGGGGCTCCGAGCTCCCCCTTCCCCGCAGCCCACCTGCCCACCCGCCAGTTACTCTATAGTCCCAGGGGATGGGTTAATGGGGGTGGGGTGAGGTCGGTGTCCCCCCTCCCCCCCATATGCGCCTAGTCCCCAAACCGTGTCCGCCACCATCTCCCAACTGCTCCCAAGGAAAGGGTTGGGGGAGGGGGTTAAAGGAGAGTTGATGGGCTGGGGCTCCCAAAGCCTGGTCCTGGGGCTGAGAACCGGGACCCAAATCACATGGATGCACTGAGCCACCCTGGTCCCTACTGACGTCCGCGGTGCAAAAGTGACTCTCGGGCCCGCTGCGGCCGGGGGCCCCCGGGCGTCCGTCGGGTCCTAGCGCCCCCGCCTCCAAGGAGCTTTGTGTAAAAGACACCAAGAGTTGCATCAGGACCAAGGATGTGTATCTCGGAAAGCCCGGGAGCGCAATGGCCATCCCCTGTTTCATCATTCAGGTGGGGCCACAGGAAATCTGGCCTGGCCAGGCAGCGGTGCTGGGAGACACAGTGATTGCTGAGGGTGGGGATAGATTGAGACTTCCTGGACCTTAATTTCTTTAAAGCTTTATCGGTCTGAAACAAGAGGATCCTGATTAAAGAGGGAACCAAACTTACATCAGATGCTTCCGCCCCCCGGGGCAGACTGGAGCCTAACCTGACAGGTGGGCCTTGCCTCCAGGCGGGGTTGCTCTGACTGCTGTCTCCCGCTGAGAGGTAAGGCCACTGCCATTCCCACCCCCACCCCCACCCCCATTAACAAATAATAATAAAAAGGCTGATCCGTGGTCCATCCGCACACATCAAGACTGAGAACTGGAAAGGACCAGAATTCAATCCCTGCACCCCCCCCCTCCCATTTTCCAGATGGGAAGCCACCCTTGGAAGCAAATTTATGGATAAAAAATAAAGGAGGGTACTCAGAACAGAGTACTCCCTTAGCCTCTGGGGCTTGCAAGGCCTGAACTCTGCCCTTGGTCTCCTATCCTCCCAACTGCTGTCACTTGCTGGGAACATTCAAGATACCAGGTCAGGGTAGTTATGTGAAGTGCTTGGAGGGCTGGGGGTAGATGACATCCTCTTGAAGTGAGAAGAAGAGAGTTGGGGGGTTACCCGTATGGTTGTGTCTTTCTGTTGCCCAGGAGAGAAGGTCAGGAAATTAATTCATCAGAGGACCATCCCCTCCTCTCACCAGACTGACTGAGAGCAGGAGATAGACTTAGGGTATTTTTCTTCTCTCTCTCTCTCTCTCTCTCTCTCTCTCTCTCTCTCTCTCTCTGGAAATAAATAGGGGGGGGTGGGCGGGGAGGGTGTATTTCAGAAAACTGGAACACTAAGAAAAATGGGAATGTTTAAAAAGTGGATCTTCATAAGCGAACTGACCATCCAGAGCCAGTTTGGTAAGGTCAGTTTACTAGGAATCATTCATTCACGCAACAAATACCATCATGGAAGCAGTGGGCTAAGCACCTTTTTTCATTCACTGTCTCATTCTGTTAATGAAACACCCTTTCTCAAATGGAAGGACTATGTTAATGGACACTAAGTAATTTTGTTTCTTTTCCAAAGAAATACATTTGTTGCTGTCTCATTGTGTTTCCACAAAGTGATGAGAAAAGGACAGGCAGTCCTTTATCCCTGGAGCATTCCCCAGAGTATAAGCAACTAGGGTACAGAGTGAAAAACCACCTGGAAGGAGGCCTGGCTGAGGCCTAGTAGGAGGGAGGGGAAAGGACTCTGCATGGCTTCCCCTCTGATACCCTTCACTCTTGTGAAGGAGGGGGCCTTGTCTGCCAGGAGAGCCATTGGAGCTGGAAGGGGAATTTCCTGTTAGGCCCTCTGAGGAGCCAGGGTGAAGGGTCTTGGTTCATCCCTGTGAAATGAAGGGTAGGATCCCTTCCACCTGCCTGGAGATGAAAAAACTTACTACCTTGTACACCTTTCCCTGCATCGAAGCAGAGGGGATGGGGGGAAACCCAAAAATGTGTCACTCCTGGGAGGAGGCATCTCCATCCTCTGGCCTTTTGGTTAGGTCTCTTCAGAGCCCTCAAAGATCCTGTAAAGCCTGCATTTGGTGTGCTTCTCTCCCCACCTCCCCCCCATTCCCCTGGGGCCTAGGCTGGCTGCAGGTCAAGGTTGCCTTGGAGACCCAGTTCTGGGATCCTTTCCTCCAGGAAGCCTTCCCCAGTGCCCCCACTGCAAACCTCCATCTCTTAGGTGCCCCCCCCCCACCCCCCGCACTTAGGTCATCCTTACACATCCGGCTTATCTGTTAATAATTGTTTCCACTTTCATCTTCCCACTGGACTATGAGCTTGTTGAGGGTGGTAGTCTACTTACCTTCCAGAGGCTAGCACTTGAAGAGGCTCAGTGAATGTTCCTTGGGTGAAAAAAATGAATGAATGAATGAATAAACGGATGGCTAGATTAAGCAAGGTGGTGGATTTCCCCAGAATTGCAGACCATCTGAATTCCCAGCATCTAGGTGGGCCCTTCAGCAGTCTTTGATGCTACTACCTTTCTTTTATTTTTTCTTTTAATATATTTTTACTGATTTCAGAGAGGAAGGGAGGGGGAGAGGGATGTAGAAACATCAATGATGAGAGAGAATCATTGATTGGCTGCCTCCTGCACGCCCCCTACTGGGGATCGAGCCCACAACCCAGGCACATGGACCAGAATCAAACCTGGAACCCTTTAGCCCATCGTCGCCAACCGGTGGTCCGTGAGGTCCGAAAGGTTGGCAACTGCTGGTTTAAGGGAACCTTTGGAACAGCGGTCACCAACCAGACGCTCTATCCACTGAGCCGAACCGGCTAGGGTGCTACTCCCTTTCTATCCCCTTTCTGGCAAGTGCTGCCCAGAGCCTTGGATGTATCTGAACATTTCCTTCCTCTTCAGCTCTGGTCTGGAAGTGGGGCTTTTAGGGTAACCCAGTTCTTCTCGTTGGAATATTGTCAGCAACCCCCGTCAGCTGGGGAGAGAGGTAACATTGTACAGATGGCTGCCTTGTTGTGGAGAATCTTTAAAAGCAATTAGTACTTTACCTTCCAGCGCCTCAAAATACTTTTAAAAATTGAGATGAAATTTACATATAGTAAAACTAACTATTTAAAAGTGAACAATTCAATGGCATTTAGTGTATTCACAATGTTGTGCAACCACCACCTCTATTTAATTATAAAACATCTTTATCATTTCAAAGGAGACCAAACCCATCAAGCAGTTACTCTCCTCAAGATACTTTTGAAGTTTATATTCCCTTGTTGTAGGGTGTAAGGCTGCCATTTGCATAACTCCCAGAGGGCACCATTCCCATTAGTCTCTGCATTTACATATGTCTTCTTGCTTCTTGGGAGTTGTGCTCCAGGGAGCATTGGTCACATAGACACCATGCGCAGTGAGAATCTGCATCAAGACAACCCGGATGGGGAGACTGGCCCGGGCTAGTGTAACGTCCCCAGTGACTCAGGCCCACGGAGTTAACCAGGCCCCATGTCCCAGTCTCTGTGGCCAGAGCCCTGACCATACAGACATTGTCTCTTCCTGAACTCTGCTCCATTCCCGTGGGACCCGCTGCAGCCTGCAATTTAAAGTCAATGAGCACTCAAGCCTGGCCACCTGCCCCTCCCTGTTCAGGCGGTTTCTGTCCTGCGCATGGTTCCCAGGGCCTCAGTCTGGCAAGTTGCCCCAATCGGGTTTGGGGAGTTAAACCAGATCTTGGGGTGGGAGTGTGATCCTGGGAACCCCAGAATTCAGGATGGGAACCCCTGAAGGGCAGCCAGCTTGCCTGTACCTCTCTGGCCTACAGCCCTTTGGAAACTTCTTAGTAAGGGAGTAGGTGGTAGGAGGAGCCAGTGGGTCAGGGGTCAGTGGGTGGGGCGAGGGTAGTATGGCGGTAGGAGGTGGGACAGTGAAGCCAGCAAAAGTGTTCCCAGGACTTCTGTAATTTTTTTTCTTGAAAAACAACAAACAAGTAAGTCAAAATAGCAGAATTAGAAGTGCACCTGGTTTACTTGGAGGGCTGTTAAGCTGTTGACAGCCCAGGGCTTCATGGTTGGATTTTCACAGTGCTATTGGAGGGAGAATTAAAAACTTAGTGGGGCTGCCGAAGCCGGTTTGGCTCAGTGGATAGAGCGTCGGCCTAACAATGCATTGTATTGTGCAGCCCTTCAGAGAAGCTTTTAAAATGTATTATATTGCCCTACCTGGTTTGGCTCAGTGGATAGAGCATCACCCTGTGGACTGAAGGGTCCCAGGTTTGATTCCGACTCAACCCCTAGTAGGAGGTGTGCAGGAGGCACCCATCAATGATTCTCTCTCATCATTGATGTTTTTGTCTCGCTCCCTCTCCCTTCCTCTCTGAAATCAATAAAAATATATTTTTTAAAAATGTATTATGGTGCTCGCTTCGGGATGATGCAGAGATTAGCTTGGCCCCTGCGCAAGGATGACACGCAAATTCGTGAAGCGTTCCATATTTTTTTAAAAACTGTATTATGTGTTTACACCCTGAGGAATGAATATAGTGCCATTCTACAGGTGAGGAAACTGAGGCCCCGAGTGATCCTTCATTAACCAGTGCCTTTCTAGCCTGATTGGTACAATCAGAAACCTCTGAGGAGCTGGGAAACCATAGATTTCCATCTCCCTAACCCATTCTCATTTGTACAAAAGCTCTCCAGGCCGTCCTGATGCTCTACTTTAGTTGGGTTGTCTGCTGACCTCCCAGAGAGATGGGTCCTGGGAGGAACACTGGGTTTGCTCCCCAGTCTATCAAAGGGCCTCTCTGTGGGTTGGGGATGGGTTAGGGCAGTGGTTCTCAACCTTGGCTGCACATTAGAATCACCTGGGAATCTTTTTAAAATCCTGATTTCTGGGCCTCATCCTCCGGAAATTCTGTTTCTTTGCTATGGGGTGGGGCCACAACATTAATAACAAAGAAACAGAATTTCTGGAGGATGAGGCCCAGAAATCAGGATTTTAAAAAGATTCCCAGGTGATTCTAATATGCAGCCAAGGTTGAGAACCACTGGGTTAGGGCTAGAGAGATGGCATGCACCTGGCGGGACTAGGCCCACAGGTGATAATGATGAGCTCACAGCCAGACAATTCTGCTGGGCTCCTAGGTTTCACAATGAGACAGGATAGTAAGAAGTTAGGAAAATTCCCTGGGAAGTGGACAGAGGGAAACTGAGACAAGATAGTTAAACAAGGCTGAGCAATTAACAGCCTGCTAGTAAATCACAAGATCTTATCTTCCCCAACCAAGGACACTTAGGAGCGGATGGTGTATACCTCTCCTTCCCAACCAGGGAGTAAGCAGCTTCAATCACCCTGGTCAGGGAGAGAGATAACAGAGATCCAGTTGGTGCCAGTTAGTGCCAGCCCAACTCCAGAGAATGAAGTCAGGGGAATAAATAACAAAAAAGCCCAAGCAGAGCCAGACAAATCCAAGGTAAAAAGAAAGCAGTAAAACTAACTAGGGAATGATCCCAAACTCCCCTATAGGCTCATTTTGATGTATCAGCATATTAAAGAACATACCTGGGAAACTGTTGAATATTCTGTTGAGACCCTCCCCTGAGATCTCCCCTAAAACTCCCACTGTTAGAAAACAGATAAAGACCCTCAAGACAGGTGGTGTGGCGTGCCGCTCTGCACGTCTGGACAGAGGTCCAAGGCCATCATCCCTGAAGGGGGTCTGACCCCTTGCCTGTCATGCAAAGCACGTTTGTGGGGAACCTGATGCTAAATCATTGTTTAACTAACTTTCAAAGTTTTTTTAATTTTATTTACAAACCCTTGTGTTGAAGGCTGACTTTTTTAATTTATTTTTTTATTTTTTACAGAGAGGAAGGGAGAGGGATAGAGAATCAGAAACATCAATGAGAGAGAAACATCGATCAGCTGCCTCCTGCACACTCCCTACTGGGGATGTGTCCACAACCAAGGTACATGCCCTTGACCGGAATCGAACCTGGGACCCTTGAGTCCGCAGGCTGACGCTCTTTCCACTGAGCCAAACCGGTCAGGGCCACACTCTCTCTCTTGGGCACTCTTGTGTGCCCCCTCCCCCTCACTTTTCCTCAGGAGTGCACTTTGCTTTCTTTCTCCTAAACTCTAAAGGTCCCCACGAGACTCTCAACCAGGGGAGCAGCAGCAGCAGCAGCTTGTCCTGGGCTAACCCGTTGAACTTGTCTTTAAGGACTCCTTTGCCTCTGTAACTTCCTGTTCTGCATCCACACAGCCCGGCATGGCTCAATTCTGTTCCTGTGACTTCCTTCCCTGAATCTGAGCCCGGCCTCGGCTCACTCCTGTTGCTGTGATCTTGCCCCTTCTATCTTAAGCTCCTCCTTTGTTTCACTGTCCCCAGCTTTAATAAACATACTCTTAAAAAATCACCTGGACTTGTGTCGTGAAATTTTTCCTACACAAAGTCAAGAACCCACACATTCCTGATGGTGCTGGGACAGACCTAACTTGGTCCTGGTCCCTCTCTGGTGACAAGAAATTATTTCCTCTGGGGACAGTGCAAGGGCAGTGGGAACCTCACAAAAGGTTGGCTTGATCAGCCACCATGAAAAGGGATGGGGATTTTGAGAACTAGGAGGGTAGTCTTAGGACACTGACAGAACACCATTAACACTAGGCACGGAGGTGCAAGGCACAGAGGCCTACCAGCCGTCCACTGCTTTCTACCTTGTTTCCCACACACCCAGAGTGGTCAAGTGAGCTGTCGAAGGGACTCAGCTACCCTCCAGGGCACCATCTCTTTTCTCATTAATACACCCCTCGGCCTCGCAGAAAGGAATCCCATCTGCTCCAGGGCCAGCTTTCAGCCAGGATCCCCCTGTCTTCCTTGGCTTCTGAACCCTTTTGAGAAAAGAAAGCAGAAGTAGAGGGCGTCTGAGGCAACATCCCTCTTCAGTTTGTACCAGAAGCCTAAGCACAATGGCTGAGCTGCCTGTGAGGGCCAGGAGTCAGCTGATCTGAGGTCAGGCTATTTGGCCACGAAGGATGATTAGGGTTCTAAGCTGTGACCTGAAACAGCCTGTAGGAAATATAATACGTCTTTGAAGTTCTGTACTTTTATTACAAATAATGCAACTTTGCATTCTAGTTTTACATCCTGTCTGTGTTTTAAATTTTAGTGGCAACTTTTAAAATTATTTACTAGTTAAATTACTTAGTTTCACTTAGTAAAAGTTAAGTTTTACTTAACTTTAAAGTAAACATTTTTTACTTAAAATTTTTTAGCCCTGCCCAGCTGGCGTGGCTCAGTGGTTGAGTGTTGACCTATGAACTAGGAGGTCACAGTTCAGTTCCCACTCAGGGCACATGCCTGGGTTGCAGGCTCAATCCCCAGTGTGGAGTGTGCGGGAGGCAGTTGATCAATGATTTTCTCTTATTATTGATGTTTCTATCTCTCTCTACCTCTCCCCTCCCTTCTCTGAAATCAATAAAAATATATTTAAAAAAACTTTTTAGCCCTGCCAGCTGGGTAGCTCAGTGGATTGTCACCCTGTACACCAAAAAAAGGTTGTGGGTTCGATCCCCAGTCAGGATGTGTAGGAGAGGCAGCCGATTGATGTTTCTCTTGCACATTGATGTTTCTCTCTCTCTCTCTCTCAAAAAAATCACTAAAAATATATATCCTCAGGTGAAGATTTAAAAAATTTTTTAATAGAAAGAAAATATACTGCAATTATCCTGTGTTGGGATTTTCATACTCCAGTTTTGAAAACCCAGACCTAGAGAATCTCAACGGCCTCTTCAACTTCCATAGGGATCATACGGAAGGAAAGGAAAATCATGAGTTTCTTGGAGCTACTTTGCTAAAAATCCCAGGCCAGGCCCGTAAGGGTGTGGACCATCCGGAGGAGGCCTGCCAGAGAAGGTAGAAGCAGACATTCCAGTTCCAGCCTTTCAGTGGTCTTGCCCTTTGAGGGTTTCAATTGCCACGTATCAAAGGGGAAGGTGGGGTCGGGTGGCTTCGCTCCTCACGCTGGGGGCAGTGGGAGAGGGAGAGACAAGGATGATCAGGAGCTGCTACAGTGGGGACAGCCTGAATCCAGGCTCACTGCCCGCCTGGACAGCAAAATGAGGTCTATTTTTTTGTTTGTTCTTCCAGAGCAGAAAGACCAGAAGGGCTTTGTCCAGCCTCTGGATACCCCCAGGAGCCGAGGTGAGTGAGGCCGGATTAGAGTGTTAGCAGAGAGGAATCAGCCCTCTCACTTGTCAGAATTCTTCATTCGGTGGAATAAACCTTACAGTCTTTGAATGTTAGAGCCTGTGGGTCCTGGGAGAGGCCCCCCCCCCCCTACTTTATGGACAGGAAACTTGCTGGAGGGCCAGGAGCCTTAGGAGGTGAGGTGCCAGTGATCTCTCACTCTCCTGGCAGTTAGGTCTCACTCAATCCCCAGGAACTTTCTTTTCCCAGACATGCAACTGTTTGTTTCCTTGCCCCTCTGCCAAGTCTCTAGCCTCACTCAGAAGAGTGTTGTTGTTTTTTTAAATCTTCAGTGCCCGTAGTAGCCAAAGGCTTGGGAAACTCAGGTTTATGCAAAAAGCAGCCACCCAGGGTCTGCAAGCTAGGCCTTCTGCTGGAATTCCTTGCTGCAGGTGATGGAAGCTGCCAGTCCCACCTGGCAACTGTGCCGCCTCTCACAAAGATCTTTCATCTTTCTGGAGCTCTTCATGGTTTTAAAAACACTTCCATATCCTTTAGTATTTTCGTAACTCTGTCAATAAAAATAACTACTAACATTGGTGTAGTGTAGACCGGTCAGGCCCCATCAGTGTCATTTTGCAAGTAAGGAAACCGAGGCGCAGCCCTGGCTGGGTGGCTCAATGGTTGGAGTGTCACCGGCTACACCAAAAGGTTTCAGGCTGGATCTTGGGTGGGGCAAGTACCAGAGGCAACCAATCGATGTCTGTCTGTCTGTCTGTCTCTCTCTCTCTCTCTCTCTCAAAATCAATTAAAAAAAAACATATCCTGGGATGAGGATTAAAAAAGAAAAGAAAACTGAGGCTCAGATAGGAGCAGGGGCTTGCCGGTCAGCAGGCTGGAGCCATGACTCTGGCTATAGGCTCATTTCCTTGATCCCAAGTTACTAACACTCCCAGTTGTGAGCCTGTGTGGGGGATGGAGGGGCCAGTACATGGCGGGGAGTGGCGGGTAGAAGAGGTAGAGTGAACATCTGGAGCTGTTGACAAAAAACTTTCTCTCCTGGGTTGGCCCCCGTTTTATCTGATCAGGGTTCTTCAACCCCCTGCAGAATTAAGCAGCCCCCTCCTCTCTTTCTCTCCCTCTCCCCCCCCCTCCTCTCAAGGGGTTTGCCTTTAGCTAGACACCCACGGGCCCAAAGTGACAGTGGTTCTGCCACCACATCCCTGCAGGCACCTCCCTGAGCACGCTCTCCCCTAGGAAGGCGAACTTGGGGAGCTCCATAGAGGGACTCCCCTCGTCCCCGTGTCCACAA